TCGATGATGCAAACGCTGGACTCGTTGGGAAGGGTGTAGGTCACTTCGCCGGGCCGTATGGGAAGAGGAAGAAGAAAGATTGTTTCGGGCAGTGATACCAAGAATAGGACGAAGTGTGGGAGGAGATTTATGGGCCTTAAGAACACAATAGAGATACGGCAATGTGTCAGCATGAGGATAATTCCAATGATTGTTCCAAACTGCATGGCTATTCAGAATGTCAGCCACTGATTCAGCAGGCCGAGAATACGTAGGATTGTCAAGGTGGCTTGACAGTTTGAATTTGTACCAATGGGACCGAATAGCATGGATGAGGACTGCGGTCATGGCGCAGATCCGACCGGGGGAAACAGCCATATTGGCAAACAGCTTAACTTGAGATGACGTGGAGATGGCGACCACCATGGTCAACACCTATGAGCAGCTACTTCGCGTGCACAGTGACAAGCGACGCGAAGCAGATCCAAAATCGGGACTGCGGACAGCGAGCTCCTCTAATCCAACCTCCCCTTTTTAACACCCATTGGGGATGAATCTTCTGCCAGAATATGAGAAGATGCATCCACCTGCAGCATCCACTTCAAGGAACACCGTGATGGCCACGTCTGACAAGTAGACGTACGCATCCAACGGACCTGGCTCCACTACTCACCAAATGTGCAAAATATGATAATGAACCTACCGCTAAAACATAGACAGGTACATCCGCTGCCTTTTTTTTTTTTTTTTCACTTTTCTTGTTACATCCTTCATGCATGTGGCCGGGGTTCACTCCCCGTTCGTCCCCTTTCCACTACCCCACATTTCTTTCCTACCTACTCTCCCAACTCTCTTGCTGTTCTCTACGCTCTCCCTTCTCCCGCACCTTCATTCCCCTCATGATCGCCCCATGCACTGCCCAGCTTGGCCCCGTAGCTTGGCCCCCGATTCACCCCGCATCACCAGTCTTCTTAGCAGTAAGTTCTCCTCTCTCTCTCTCTCTCTCGTGCGGGCGCGCGCACGGAATAGCTCTTTCGGAGCACACACACACACACACACACACACACACACACACACACACACACACACACACACACACATATCCAAGAAGAAGATGTAAAGAAGTGGAGACGAAGTGTGAACGTAAGTGGCCCTCACCTCGAAGTTCACGGCGGCGCGGCTTCACGGCAGTTCGGCAGCGCGTCAACAACAAAGCAGCGGCAGCGTTCTTCTTCACGACAGTTCGAAATCGAATTCAAATTTCTGCCGCCTCACGGCCCCTCACGGTGACGAGGGGCATTACACAAAGACGGCTGCCCCTCATGGGGGCATATCGCAGAGGGCCTGAAGGAAATGGGACCGCCAGGCCGAGGAGGGCGTCCCAGAAAGTTCGGCTCACTACAGGTAAGGGCATGTGGGAAATATATTTTGGCACAGGGGGGCGACAGGGTAAAACGGCCAAAGGAGGGGCGCAACGCAAATAAATGCAAAATACAGTGGCGCCAGACAAATTTTTCCAAACAGAAAAACTCGGATTTCCATCTACCGTTTTCCGGGCGGTGGGGTCCCGGAAAACCTTCCCGCCCTCCTAAAATCGGCTCTCCGGGAGGGCCTCATTTGTCCAGTGGAGTCCGAGAAAAGTTTTTCCACACCGGTTTTTCCACGATTTTTCTCTGTGGGGTCCAGGTCTTAGCCTCAGAAAGTGAAGCGCTCGGCGCGGGGCCTCAGGCTCTGAATTTGCTTTCGTATTCTCACGAAGCGGCAGAGCGCGGCGAGTGCCCGAAGTGCTCTTCCGTCTTCCGCTTTCTCCTGTGTCTCTCTTTCTCTGTACGCCCTCGTTCTTGCTTAATAGGCGATCGTGGAAGGTGCCTTGGACGGACAAGCTTCAACCTTATCGGAGGCAAGTGAAACCACAACTTCAACCTTATCGGAGGCAAGTGAAGCCACAACTTCAACCTTATCGGAGGCAAGTGAAGCCACTCTCTCTCTCTCTCTCTCTCTCTCTCTCTCTCTCTCGCTCTCTCTGTGTGTGTCTGTCTCCTCTGTCTGCCTCCTCTGTCTGCCTGCCTGCCTGCCTGCCTGCCTGTCTGTCTGTCTTTCTGTCGTTCTGTCTTTCTGTCTGTGTGTCCTGTCTCTACTCCCTCCTTAGGCGATCGTGGGGGTCCGCTGGACGGACAAACGCGAAGCTCAGCACAGGCAAGTGAAGCCCTTCTCTCTCTCTCTCTCTCTCTCTCTCTCTCTCTCTCTCTCTCTCTCTCTCTCTCTCTCTCTCTCCCCCTTCCTCCCTTCCTCCCTTCCTCCCCCCCAACACGACGCATCCTCATCATCACTATATCGAACCAGAAAGATGGCTTTGCACCGTGATGATCAGGGTGCGTTATGTTCAGGTGAAGGGCGGTAGCTGTGGCGCGCGCGCTTACTCCCGTCCTTACGCGAATAACACGCACGGTCATCATCGTTGTATCCAGACTGAGAGTTTGGGGAAACATGCATCGACCTTTGG